TATTTCATCCACTGTTATATTTTGAGTGTTGAATTGTTAATTCTACAATTAATGATTACCAAATCAAATGGCTATATGAATTTTCTTCAGCTGACTACATAGGGTGAGGAAAGAAATAATCATCTACAATCGAAGTATCATAATTTTATTACTTATCACATTCATAGGGTCAAATTTTGGGAAAACACTTTTCCTATCTTCAGTTGGTCTATAGCAAGGAGGAAAAAAAAATGGACATAAGGGAGCAAAAAGAAATATTATAATTTTAAAATCCTTCACTTAGTCAACCAAGGCAACAAAAACAACAACAACAAACATTTTGGAGAATATGGAAATTCTAAAACTTTACAAAAATATTAATTTTTCTGTCTTGAAAGAACATTCTTCAATTAAAAGCAGTCCCGTTTTAAATCTTCTTATTAACTAGCCCCTAATCACTCTTGACCTTAATTTTTCTGCAAAATTCTTTATTTAGTCAACTTGTTTAAAATGTATACTTCTTGAAATTTAAAATTCTAGAAGATTTCAAATACCTAATTTTATGTCCTGTATTAACATTCCTGTATGAAAAGCAGTCGATTTTAAACCTGTATATGACTATCCCTTCTATTCTTCTTGTCTCCCCCTCCCACAACTTGGTAAGTTTTCTCCATTCCAAAAGACAGCTGCCACCTAGCCGTACACAGCATGTTTTTCAATTTTCATATTTATCTGACCATGTTGTGAACGTTTATAAGTGGTCCACATTGCTTGGGCATTAAGTATTTTAAATTTATTTTAATTTTATTTGTTAATGTTTTCACATAATTCCACCGTATTTCGTTTTGCTCCATTATGTTAATTTTTCAATTTTCCTTCTCTTTGCCCACTGAAGATGGGAAAAGTGTTTTCCTGGAAATTGATTCTGGGAATATGATAATTAATAAAATTATTATACTTTGATTGTGGAGAAAAATTACTGTTTTTTCCAGAGATCCTCATGGGTCTCATCTGAGTCCCTTACTTTTCATCGTCTATATTGATGATATTAAATTGGTTCCGAAAGATCTTTAATACCTTTTATTTGCTGAGGATTGACAAACTTTCAAGATTATTGAAAAACCAGATGATTATCTATGTCTTCAAGCTGCATTGCATGATTTTTCGAAATGGTCTATCGACAATCAACTTGAATTACATCCTTCCAGTTGCAAATATATAACTTTTTCTCACTCAAGAAAGCCTATTTAAACTTATATAAAATTTAACAAGTTTTATAAAACTTATATAAAAACTTATATAAAATTTAACAAGTTTCAATCTCCAAAGTATGTTCTATAAGAGATGGGGGTTATATTTGATTCTAAACTGAAGTCCAGAAGACATATTGATCTGATTCAGAAAGCCAACCAAATCTTAGGATTTGTGAGGAGAACTTGCTTGGGCTTAAACTCAACAAATGTTTTGAAATCATTTATGTCATTGGTTAGACCTATCTTGATGTTTGCCATAACTGATCTCCACACATCATTAATAGTACAATGATCAAGACCATACAGCGTAATTTGTTTAGAATTATAGCATTGAAAATGCATCTGCCTGATCCATTTATAGATTATGATAAGTTTTATTGTAAATCAACTGAAAAAACAATCTTACAGAACCTAAGAAACACCAGATTCAATTTTCCTTATTAAACTGATTACAATCTGGATTGTCCATTGCTTTTGAAGAGGGTTAATTTTAAAGTTCCTCCTATCAACACAAAGAGTGATTATGTTTGAGATAATATATTATAAATTTTCCTATTTGGCAAACATTCCAATGTCATGAATGAGCAACTTATGTAATTAGTTGAAAATAAATACATTTGGTGAATCCTAATCACTAATAGAAAATTCTTCGAAGAATGTATTTTTGGAATATGAATAATATTTTTATTTGGTTTTTAAACATTATTTTTGAAATTGAAATCTCTACCATAGTAACGTATAGCCTCATTATAAATTTGTGGGTTTGTGAAGTATTAATGTTTATATAACCTTATTAGTCAATGTACAAATATTACTGTATACAAGGACGGCACACCTGTTTATTCAATAAACAAACAAACAAATAAATAAATAAGAACTATGTTATTGGATCAGTTGCACATGTGACACCACAATACAACAGACGACAACATAGTTTAAACATACAGTTACGTACTTGATTTACTTCCGGAGCTGGAACATTTTCCGCAAGTTTTTCCAGTGCCCATGAGATAATATCATTGCTTGTACGACCACCATTATAATCTTCAGCAGATGATGCGGCTTTCTTACCAGGTCCAAAGAATTTAATTGTGGGATATCCTTGAACGCCAAACTGATTGGATTTAATAGTGTTTACAGTCGCATCCAATGCACCCAATTTTACCTAAAAATTAACACCACACAACATTAGTGATTATAAATTAAAAATTACAGAATACTCTGAATAAAATGCAAGAAGTTAGTTATAAGATCCTCCTTACTTTTCCCTTCAACTCAGTAGCTGCCTTTGCCCAATGTGGAGCTAAATTCTTGCAATGTCCACACCAGGGAGCATAAAATTCTACAAGCCACATATCTTCTGAATCCAACACAGTTGAATCAAAGTTGGAATCCGTAAGTTCTATTACGTCTTTGGGATCACCCTATAAAAATATTGAATTATTAAACATGAAAATACCACCATTATCACAGTAATTAAAATTACTGAGTAAAAATGAGCACATAATAACATTTCAATTGCTAATTATGAGAATAACAGGTTTAATTATTATAGAAGTTATTTTATAAATTAATTTATTTTAATTATTTCATTCAATATGCCCTCTTGCCATCCAAGAATAGGATCTGATTTACAAGCTTATGAACCATTAAATATTTTTTTGATGATTCCTTTTAAAGATTAAGAATAAATATAAGGTTAAAACTTGTGGCTCAATGGTGAAGCTACTTGCCTTTCACCACTGAGATTCCGGGTTCGATTCCCATAGAATCCCCATAGAACCTCATGTGAAATGTTACGACAAAATGAGTTTGCATGCTTCACAGGGGCTAGTCCATACCCTGTGAAGCGTCCAGACCTTACCCCTATCGTTATTGCTTCCCAATTCTGGACGCTGGGTAGTAACGCAGGAGTGGGTAAGAGAGGTGTGTATGTGGAGATGCTATCTGGCAGTCCTCTTGACAACTGACAGATGAAATGCGACGGACTATAATAGTTAATGGAAGATTTCTCCTAAAGTGCAAAGTTTGATAAGGTACTTGTATGTAGTTTACAGGGATTATAATTAGAAATTTAAATTAAATTAGAATTAAAACCCCACCAGTAACAATATTGTTTAAAACAGCAATTTATTATTGCTAATATACTTTTTCTACAACAATTTCAGGGGTAGGTCCAAGAATTAGGTTTTTGCTCTTAAATAAAACTGAATCTTAGTGATATCTTCAAAATAAGAAGAGTGATGATGTTTCAAGTTTGGCTAAAGAAGACAAAAAGTAACTTTAGAGAAAAGCTAGATTAATTTTCAATGGTTCTAAAATGCCTCAGGATGATACAGTACACCTTCCACTTTCAATTTCTCGTTTTTCACCGTTCTTTAGCCTTTCAGGTGTGGTCTGTTTTTGAGTTATTTGAGGTTTCCTGGTGACACACAGTCACTCCTCACAACATGTGGGTACCAGGTTTAATGCACAACCTTTCATATATTTAGGACATGGCATATGGGTACGCAATCAGAAAAGTACAAATAAATCAAAAACTAACAAACTTTGAAATAAACTGTTTTAAACATTGCATTTCAATGCACAAGAAATAGTGAAAACAAAAAATCTAATTTCTCACAGAAAAATGTCATTTTGAGGTAGACTTGTACCTTAAATAGTGATAAATTTAAGTGATAATTATGGAAGGAAATCCAAAAAGAAGTCTGAAAAATAATATATGAACACTATTTCACCCATCATTCTTGTAGAGAATCATGAATTCCCTTAAGTTCCACAAATTTTAAAGCATTTCCACAGATTACACAACTGTGTTTTGGTAATAAAAATAAAATGAAATCCTAAAAAAATTTTCACTTCCAAGTTTTGAAAATAAAAAGTTATTATTTCATACACACTAATCATTTAAATCCAATCGTCTTCCAGTGTTCCATAAATAATAAGGCAAAAATTAAAAGCTAAATTCTACAATTATTTTAAATAAGTTAACTTAAAACATTAATTAATAATACATTTTTTAATGTATTTTAGTATTTATCCACAACCTGGAAGAGACAAAATATAAGCAAGTTTTAGTGTGATCAACAAAATAAACCTTCTTACTTTACTTCCTGACGATCCTCCACTCCGCTTTGATCCCTGCTGTATATTAACTTTTTCTCTCAAAGCAGAAAATGCTGCATCAATGAGAGCTTGAGAAGATCTCTGCCCATTAAAATCCTCAGGTTTGTTTTTGTCAGCTCCAAATATCTTAATTGTAGGAAATCCTCTTACACCATATTGTCCTCCCAATGATTTGTGTTCATCAGCATTAACTGCACCAACTTTGACAACACCCTACGGAAAGATTCAAAACACATAAAATGTTCCTAATACATTAAGAAAACATTGAATTTTAACAAGACTCAATCTGGATATTCATACCCGAAGAGCAGTTGCTGCTTTGGAATACTCGGGTACTAATTGTTGGCAATGGCCACACCAAGGAGCATAAAACTCCACAATCCATACTGCATCGCTCTGAATGACTAGTCTATCAAAATTTGCTGGACTAAGTTCAACTACATCTGAACTACTAGGGTACAGTGCCCAACTCAATTGTACAAATACTAAGAGAACTAAAAGGCAAAAGAAAATATTGTGTAAGAAACCTTTCAGTTAGTTTACATAAAAAATCCTAGAGCCAAGTACTAAGTGAGATAATATTTCTCAAAAGTAACACAGATTATAATTGAAAGTTCAGATTATGTTCACCCTGATACTTACAAAAAACTCGGTACATGACTTCGCTTAAAACTGTGGGCCACGCCACAAACAACTGGCTGAAGAAATTGTTTAACACGAAACCGATTCCCACCTGCTGAATAAATGATCAAATGAACAGCACGAAGCCGAGTACACAACAGTACACAACACGTACAACGCACCTTCTATCCGCGCAAGCTCACAAATGCCGGACGAATTCGTGCTCAAACGTGATTGGCTGCCTGGGACACCAAAACTGACGTGACTGGAAGACGTCAAATCTCTCGCCTTCGATGAGGCCAATCTCAATTAACAATTGCCGGTGACTTGGAAGCGCGAAGATCAATATATTTTTCGGTCGGATCTTAAAGTGTGTCAAAAGATTGTGTATCCTCCAAACTTTGTAGAATAATAAAATGCATAATTTTACCATTCATGGCTTAATCGCCATGAGATTGGTTTTGCTTTCTCGTATACGTACGTGTATACAGAGATTAGATTATTACGTAGTATTCGGAGATTAGATTGTTATGTAGAAAGATAAAGTTTTCTAATGCTGCGGAAGAAGATCAATGTCGAAATTTAAACGAATATCTACGTCCCTTGATAAAGAAAAACGTCTGCCGTCCGGCAATGATCAATACTAGCGCTTTAACATTAAGGATTAGTGTTGTTCACAATCTCGGGGTTACCAGATAAACTAGTGGTTCTACAGAATGACACAGACTTTCTCGAATCAGTTTTCTACTTTCTTTAGTCTCGGCTAGCCACACACCCTTGCCAGCTGCCATCTACCCGCCCAAAGTATATTTTAAAAAAATTATTTTCGTCTTCCTAATAGTAGAACGGAAATGTTATTTTAAGAATATTAAGAACAGTAAAACATCGACCTAAAGTGCAATTTTCTTTGAAAAATTTGTAGCCGTTTTTAAGAAAATAGTTTTTAAGCGCTACTGTAAATTCGAAATTAAATCGTGTTCCGGTAAATTACTTCCTTTAACACTCTATGTAGCTAGAATCCATGTTTTGTGGGTCCTTAATACCGCAAAATTGATTGACAGCAGAACGTCTCTCCCGATTCTCCCGTCTGTCTGTGGGCAATGCTAGCGCCTAAATCGTTGATGGATTCTTTGTTGTTGTTTTTCGAAAATTACACAAATCCATTTTGTATAATATCTATCATGTTGTCGTTAGTTTTTACATTACGGGCATTTTCTAAATTATCGCATTTGTGAGAACAATTACGGAGTTTTTGCGCCTTCGAACGTTAAAACACTATCGATCTTTTGCGCATGCGCATATGCACTAAAGTGATGCGATTCTTCAACTGCGCATGCGCAGAAGATAATTCTTTAACGTACGAGGGTACACAAACTCCATACTTTTGTGCATGTGAGCCTGCGCATAAATTCGAGATTGCAGTCGATTGCTGTCCGCTAAGGTGTGCAAAAACTCCCTATTGCTTCTAATAAATTCTCATGAAGTTTCTCGAAAAATTGAAAACTGAAAGAAAAATGTGCTTCAAAATTGGCACTTACAGAAACGCTCAATCGACAATTTCCAAGAACTGCTCTACGTTTTTCAACAAAAGTGTGCATACAGGCCCAGGTTTTACTCTTCTATAATATTCTCTCTTGTGGGACGTGGCATGCAATTGCGGCTTTATTTGTTCCCCAATGACACCCTACGTCGTACTTAACTATTTACCTATAATACAAGAACCTTCCGAAGGGGCACATGCACAGTTGTTTCTTAACAAGCACTATGGATGTTGACTCTATGGTCGGCGATGCATCTTAGGGCGGAGTCGTCGATATTAGTGCCAGAGTAGGGAATGGGACCAGAAAGATTACATATACGCCAATTTACTCTATTCTTTTGTTTAAAAAAAAGATACAAAAATGTACCTTTTTTAAAGCGTCTTTCATGACTTTAATATTTATCTTAGGAGCAATTTTTTCACATACTTTTATTTACAAGTACACGTGCTTTAAAAAAGTGAGATAAAGTTTCTCGAAAACTCAGCCATTTTCTGTGAAAACTAGCTCAAAATTCCGCACTTTAAGAAACTTGAAAACGTCTCCAAATTGATTCTTCAAACTTTTCAAAAATTAGTGATAATTACACTGTTTAATATGACAAAGTACATTTTGGGGCTTTGTTTGTTTTTTCAAAAATTACACACGGTTTTTTTTTTGGAAGATCTCCTACTTTGTTACTATGCACATTTCCACCAATTGGTAAACACTTATGTATTTGTGAGTTAAAGTGTTTGAAATGACTTCATATGAAGTTTTTCGAAAATTCCGAAAATTTTTGAGAATATACAGTAGCGCTTAAAAGCCATTTTCATGAATAAGGCTCCAAAATTTTCAAAGGAAATAAAAGACAATAAAGACAGGATAAAGATAAATTTATTTAAACTACAAATGGGTATAATCTGGTGGCAGCTAATTACATAAATAAGATAATATAGCTAACAAGCAAGTTATATAATAATAATGGTACAATAATAATCATAGAAACAATAATAATTGCTGATAAAACAATAATAATAATGTAAAAACCAATAATGATATAAAACTGGCTGATTCATAAAACATTAAATTACCTTTAGAAAAAGAAACCTCTAAAATCTAAGTCCGCACTGAATGTTTGTTCAATTAAGACCACACTGCACTGCAACCCTTCAATTTCCTTCATTAGATCTCTGCTCTACACTGCACGATACCTCACTTCACAATATATCACTTATGCATTGCTCTATAACCTACTATTTTCAGAAGTCCCTTATTCACTTAGTAATATCCTAAATTAATTTCCTAAACTGTTGAACGTTTTGAGGAAAGGATTCAAAGGTTTTTGCAGGCAATCTATTCCATTCAGTTATCGTTCCATGTGTGAAAGAAATTTGCCCAATATCTCTCTGCGGTTTTAAATTTATTTTGTGCCTGTGATCCTCCCTTCTAATATATATAGGAATACTTAGCCACCAATTAATTTCTTTCCAAGCCTTATACTAAGTGCAGACTTGTTACTGATCGCCTGTTTTTGAGTGAATCCCATCATGCCATTTTCTTGTAAGAATAGTAAAGTAAATTAATTAATAGGGGACAAGCTAATAAAACTAAATGAAAAGAAGTTCAGAGCAAAGTGATGGGTTAATTTTACAGAGTAAAATGCCTCGAAAAAGAACAAGGTAGTATTCTTAGGGTTTTCTACAAGTTGGCTCATAAAAATGAGGAAAGTGAAATATTTTGCATTCTACTTGTACACTGGAGACAAAAAAAAGTGTGTTCAAGTTATTTCTCATGCGCACTCTGTGAATTTGTAATACTGCTCTGCTACTAATAACAAGGCAAAGGATGGTGGTGGTAACAAAGATCTGTGTAATATACCTCAATCCCTAAGACAAAATGGCAATATTTATACAGGGACAGATTAGTTCCTTTTCTAAAATTGAGTCTCATTATTGACTTGCAGACAGAAAAAGTCAATACTTAGAGGAGAACTTGAGAATACTGGTCATATGCAGGAAGAATGTTGAAGCCTAAGGCAGTAGTGCTGTAGCGACCATGGGTTGAAGTCCTGCCTTGTGCATGGTTGTATTTGTATTTGTCCATTCACCCCCTATCATGACATCTTCACAGTTACCAAAATATTAAATCCAATAGTGGTCGCTAATGACTTGGATATTAATGTGACTATAATTGGCTTTCCATCAATCCAAGAAAGATCAGTGTTTTAAGTGGGCTGCATTTAATAATTTGCAAAAAACCAGAAAACATTCCAGACCAATCATTGAAAATGTAGGCTGTTATGCAGCTCCTATGTGGAGATGTTTCTGCTTTGGTTTATACAAGTAATTTGAACTTATTTTACAGTATGCATTAATTTTACAGTATGCAACTTTTGGGATAAGGTAGGATAAAGTTTCACATGGCATGAGGGTACAGGCAAAAAAGGAGGGGCAAATGAGATGAGTATCTCTGTTTATTTATTGAAAATTGTGGTAATAAGGATGAAATTATATTTTATTCTGACAACTGTTGTAGACTGAATAAAAATAAGTTATTGTGGTAATGCAGATAAAAGTTTTATCATGGAACATAATCATCCATAATTTTTTCATAACTGGCCACACTCACAATGAAAAAGATGGTATGAATTTCATTATAGAAAGAGAGAAAAGAAGAATCCTGAAAGGAAGGCCAATCTACATTCCAACTCAATTAGTTACAATTTTGAAATCTTAAAAAAAGTGGTCCTACTTATTCAGTAAAAGAAATGGAAACATATTTTTTTAAATTGGAAGGACATTTGTGCAAGCTTGGGCAAAAATTACCACATAAATGAAAAAAGAGAAAACAATCTGTCGGGCTGAAATAAAAGTCATTCAATTACAAAAGATTCCTCTTACCTTGTGTTCTACAAGACCTCATTCTTTGAAACAGTATTTCAAATCTTGAATATAAGACCAAATCAATGAGGAAAACCTAAATGATTGACACTATCATCAATTTACAAAAGTCTATGCATTTCAGCAAAGGAAAGGGCTTATCTGCTGTCACTTCAGAAAAGCAATTTGATCTTCAGATCTTATCATTATTTTTTTGAATCACTGAAAGCTTCTAAAGATGTTCAAGATGATACTAATCTTTAAAATGCATGTTCTTTGATAACACTGTACAATCTGGATTTTCTTTGTTTAAAATTACTTGCAATTCTGTTTTGTAGTTTGAATTGCTTCTGTATTCTTCATCTATTGCTGCTCACTTTTTAACACAGCAAGGATCTTCATGTACTATTGTTGTGAAATATTATTTTGATATAAAATGTATTTTCATACACATAAAAGAACTTTTGTTTTGAAAACTGCTAATTGACTAATCCCATATTGTTTCAAATACTAAGATACAATAAATATTTATCGCAAATAACTGGTGCAATACGAAAGACATCTTTAACCATAAGTATAATATAATTTTATAATTTAATTATAGGTAAGTAATTGATGTAATATACAAAAATCAATGTTTGTTTGTGTTTATGTTTTATGCGCTGCCATACTGTTCATCCAATTGTGGTAAAACTTATTGTCAACTTATTGCTTACACTTGCGCATAAACAATTAAAGGCACAGCAAAATGGGAATGAGCATATGTCTGCCATCAATGCGTATTGATGATGATATTTTATGGATTTATGCTCAAGCTAGTGTTGACTCAAGCACCCCCGAACAGAAGCTCTACACAACCTGCCACACTCCAAGTACTAAGTGCATCTTCTCTTCATATTCTACTCCTGCGATTGTGAAACATCTGCTGGTATTATTACTTGAATATTATCTTGGACACGTAATTTCTTCTCATAGTGAATGCATGCCTAAACTTGAGTGAGACGTTTTGACAACCACAATCAAACCAGGACATAGAATAAACTCGCACTCACAAGAAAATCTTTCATCTATTGCTACTTTCGATCCTACTGATGTATCTGATATGTCATCTTAATTTTCATCAGTGCCCAATGGATGTATGTCAGACGTCCTCTTACATTTATAGTCTTTGACAAACAATAAATGTATCTCAGGCATTCGAAAGCACCTAGAATTTGCTATTTAATATGATTAAGGTGGTTGTAGGACAAACGCCAATGTGTTTTTCTATTGTCTGCAAGTATTTGGAATTTTTCCAGGAAACATTCGGATATTCATGCTTGAGGGCACTTTCGATTATGTTCAGAATGTCTTTCTTTGTAAGTAGTGTTCGTGCTATTAGCTACATAAACAGTTGTTTAGAAGACATAGTTGTAAAATTCACAGTGACTCAACACAAGAATTTCAAGAGTTTTGAATAATGGATGGAAACTGGATTCTTGTGATGAGGACATCGATTTTATTCCAGGACTGTTGTCTACTTTGAGCAATTAAAATTATATTCAGGAGAGTAATAATTATGTGAATAATTTTATTGGCGAGTTTTCTCAAATTCAAGAGTTTTCTTTTCCTTTAGAATGCTGTGAAATTGATAAACAATCTGAATTACCAGTGTTCGAGAAAACCAGTGAAATAAAATTTTCTGTAAATGAAGACTCAACTGAGTTAGACTATTTTTCATAATTTTTTTACCACAGTATATTTCGAAAAATAAAGGCAGAAATAAAACTATTCAAATAGAATTATATCTGAACTTCAACAAAATATAATTGTGGTGCACCAGTAATTGTTGACATACTAAATTCACCGTGTTTCCCCCCACAGTTTGTAACATTGTTACTTTCCGCAAAATATAAAATTGACAACATGTGTTTCTTTGAAATCCCTTCTCACTATCATCACAATCAAACGAACATAAAATATATACAGACTTAAAGAGAAAAGACAATACTACAAGATTTTATCAATTTTCAACTGATGTGTACAATAGTTTTTGTTACATATTTAGTATAACACATACATTGCACAGGACACAAGAGTTAACCATATGGTGTATCCCTCAGGATCAAATGTGTTAAAACATCTGCAGAGCGTAACATAAAACGTGATTTATAATCACGTGACCAGTAGCATGTGAAGTGTAAAACACTGCAGTAGCGAAGAATGGTGGATCCACTAGTTGATTATAATTAACCAACACAAAACAATTGTTTACAACTTGTATCATATATGAATTCAATTTCCTTATTCAATTTTCTGAATAATCACATATAAACAAAATCTTAAAATTCTATTTTCTCAAAACAATACTTTTAAAGATGTTCTAGTTTTGAATTGAAGTAGTGATATGAAGGATGTTGTTTAAAGACAACAATGAAGATCGATCCGATAACATCATTCAACTCATTAAAAGTTTTGAGTGTCTCAAGGTGTCAAGAGAGTGGAGAGTTGAATTCTACCATCACTGGAGGCAGTAACAGATGTAACACATTGATTAGCAATAGCCCAATCAACAGCAACAACAGGCTCACAATGGCCTCCCATATCAAGCAGTTTTCTTACATTAGAAGTACCCACCTGAAAAATATGATACAAAATATTTATTATTATGAATAATTAAAAAAGACAAGAAAAGAAAAACAGAAACCCTTTTTTTAAAGAATTACTTGTGTTTCTAATAAAATTATAGGAAAATATAAAATTTTCTTTTATTTGGTTTTTGCACAGAGCAAAGTGCAGCACAAAATCAAATAAATTCTAAATTTAAACTTTGCCATCAAGCATGCATATTACTTACATGAGCAATAACACCACCTGAGTTACCGCACAATAATGCATTTGTACCAGCTGTGTCTAAAGAGAAGAATTGTCCATGAGCTTCAGGCAAGATTTGCAATGCTCCAACATCTGGTAGGTAATGTTCTGATAATATCTGCCCTCTCTGACTCAAACAATGACGTCGTAGCTGAAATATTGAGAACATGTACTTCTGGTGATCGAAGTGTTCAGATAATCCATGATTAATGTATCTTAAATCATAAAATGTATTATTACTTATTCTTCTGGCTTTACCTTACAGTCTCTAGTGAGAGTGAAACACGCAGTGTAGTCAGCCACTAACTGAATAGCTTCAATAGGCTCTTTCTGTAAATGCCACACATCTATACAATCAGAACTTCGTATATCAAAGATACGCACTGCACCATCTGTGCAGCCAGTGAATAGCAGCTGACCATTGTGATTGAAAGCACAGCATTTTGCATAGTGATTACCAGTACCAAAAAGATAGAAGTTCTGGGTGGGAAAGTGATATATACATATTAGAATTGATAATTTATAGTATCCAATAATATGTCAATAATATGAGATTAAGTACTAACAAACATGGCTATTATTTCTTATAAGAACACAATCTGTATTTTAGACACATTACTATTATGTCATCTCTTTAATTTATACACATTAATATAATATTGTTTAGTCTTTAGACAGAATGTATATCTTTTTATACTCACTTCCAATTTTTTAGTTTTTAAATCAAATAATAGCAATTTGCTAAGATTACTTTGTTGTCCGTCAACCAGACAGCAAACAAAATTTGTCTCATTGGGACTGCAGCACAAATCCAGGACACTGCTGATAGCAAATAAAAGCCTCTTACAAATGTGAATATTATTTATACAAAAGCCAATCACAAGCTCAAGCAATCACGTAAAGAACTTTTTCTATCCCGTATATGTATGTATATACAGAGTAATATACACAGAATAAGGGAAAGTTATGTAATGCTGCATTAAAAAGTGGTGGATTTTCAGCAGGCAAAATTCATTGCCGGGCCCTGAAAACGAAAAAGTGGATAAATAGAGTTGCTAAATTAAGAAGAAAAAAATCCTGTAACACATGGGGTTGCCAGAATCCCAATTTTGTGGGTCCTAGGTAACGAAATATCAACTGACGGCAAAACGTCCATCTGTCCGTAATCACTACTAGCCCCTACACCATGCATATGATTTTTTTCCAAATTGAAAAAACTCCAGTCTAACTGGCTTGAGTCGAAAAGTTGAAATTTTGAAAAACATTCTTTAAAATTTGGAGGTAACTTACATGAAGCCCTCCGGACATTTTCATTTTCTCTAAAACTGATCCAAATTTTTTCTTTAAATTTCTTGTAAGAATAGAGTAACAGATACTTATAATAGTGGCAGAAGTCCGATTTTCACAGTTATTCATCACAACTCTGAATTTTCGAAAATTTCAAAAGTATGAATTTTTTTCTGCTTCTTCTTACAGATACAAAATTGAATATAGAGGTCTTTCCTTTAAATTAAATTTGTTACCCATAATTAGTTTTTTCTTCGAGGTCATGTATATTTTTTTAAAACTTTTATTAGTTTTTGTGCAATACTGCATGCAATATTTGCAATTTAAAAAATTACAAAACGAGATTTTCTTATAAAACTGCTCAAAATTTTCTCTTTAAACTTTTGGTAGGGGTAGTGTTAAATGTACTCTATGAGATTACATAAATGCCATATTACTTTATGCTTTTGTTTTTTTCAAAACTTATAAAAATGTAATTTTTTTGATGTCTCTCTCTCTCTCTCTCTCATTGCTAATAATTATATTAGTGGTAATTTGTTCACATTATTATATTTATGAGTACATGTGCTTTAAATAATGTCACAAGTTTCTCAAAAACCTAATCATTATCTGTGAAATCTAGCTCAAAATTTCACTTTTTCTGACACACTTAAACACAATTTTCTCAAAAATGGCTCCAAATTTTCTTCAAACTTTTTGAAGGCATAGTACTAATTGTACTGTTTAAGGACGTAAAGTTCATTTATCAGTATTTTTTTGTTCTTTCTAAAATTATTCAAATGAAATTTTTTTGGAACATCTCAAATGCCATTAATATGCACATTTCAACCAATTTGTAAATACTAATGCATTTGTGAGTTAATGTGCGAGAAATGATATATAATAAAGTTTTTTGAAAGCTCAAACATTTTCTGTGTAAGAACTTCAAATTTCTAATTTACAGCAGTGCTTAAACACCATTTTCATAAAAGCTGCTCCAAATTTTTCGAAGAATATTGCCATTTACGACAAAGTTTTACTGTTTTTCAATATTCTTAAAAATAATATTTCTATTCTACTATTAGGAAACAGAATAATTGAAGAAATTTCAAAAAAATGTACTTTGGACGACGATAGATGGCAGCTGGCAAGAGTATGTGGCAAGTTTGAAGAGCTTGCTGAGACCAAAGGAAATAAAAAACTAACATGGGTCTAACTAACAAAGGTACAAACGGTACAAACTAACAAAGTCTGTACCATTTGTAGCACCATTAGTTCAATTTTATTTTGATAATGTGAGTCATTAATAAGTCATAAATGAAAGAGTAAATAGGAGTTGATGTGTTTTGGTAGTGAATAAGAGTGAAAGAGCGATAAAAGTTGAATCCGTGGAGCTCCCAGCATTACAAGTTTCTTGACTTTCTTGCATTATGTAAAAATTTAATAAAATAGGAGGTAGTCATTGAATTTAGAGATCAAGTGGCTATGCCATATCTGAAGCCAGAGAGAGTGAAATGAGAAGTTTGGTTAGCATTTGCTTGTTTCTACAAGATACAAGACCTTAGATAAATTAAAGGAAACAGTATTAAGTTTACAAACAATTATAATAATACTGAAAAGGAAAGATTGTGCTTCACAAAAAGAAAACTTGGAACTGGAGTAACAAAATTGCAACGTGGCAACTCAGCTATCATGCATCTTAGAAGATAAAATGGAACATTGTGAAAAGAAAAGATGCAAAAAGTGCAAGTGAGCATGAAGGTAATATTGAAGAACAACCAACAAGAAGCAAATATATTGAGCTAAGTGATGAATTTCAGAAGACAGGGGGAGGGGGGGGGGCAGAAGTGCAACTGGCAAGGGGGTAGAACTCTCACCAAGCACTCTGCCTAGACACAGTAGAAAGTAGAAGAGACGATTCAAGGGACAGTGTTGTCTGATAGCCATGAATGATCATTGTCTGAAAAAATAAATAAAACAGAGCCAAATGCTGCTTTAGAACTCACAAAGACAGCACAGGCAATATTTTGACACTACTTCTACATGATGGAAAGGATCAAGACTTCCTTAAGGAGTGCCTAACAAATATAAAACGATTTGTAGAGGCGAACATTGACAGAAGCATTAAAATTGTTTCAAGTCCCCATAGGCATGATTTAATAAATAGCTAACGAGTCAAAAAAGAAAAGAAGGAGAACACACATTAAAATAAAAGCCTTATGTTAAACTTAAAAAAATGCAGTGTCCTAGATTTAAGCAAATTAAATAGAAATTTGTTTACTTGCAATGAGATGCATTCAAATAAAAGAGGGAAAATCTTGGCTAGCAAATCAAAATATCACACTGATACAGGAAAGTTAAATTGAAAAACTAACATTAGCTTAACTGACCTGAACCAGAGAAACATAGTTTGGACTGTCAATTATTGGCAAAACAAAAATAAAAATGCTCCTGTAATGTGTAACGCCAACAAGGCATTATTGGTACTAATAGATAAAGTTAGATAAAGTTGAAGTAATATTAAGTGATTATAAAAACAAATATTATAGCTTTTACTGTTTAAAGAATAAAGAAATTAGATAAGATTAGAAAGAGGTATTTCGGTTTCATCATTTCTCCTCGAGTAGAATACTTTAACTTAAGCTATTTTATTGCAATGTCACCGTCTTCAAGGAATGTTTTTTGCAAGAGAAAATAAATTTCATCTTAACATTGAGCAAAGTGCACACAAAGCAAACAAGCATTTGTGGAGTTTTCACGTGCCGGAAGTGTTTACCAACCTGCTGGTACGCCAGCAAGGGAACGACCGCATTCTTTTAGAGAAAAGCTGAAGGCCACAGCACCTAGGCGCCAGATGTAGGAAGAGCCGAGCATCACCAGGAATGACATCCCCTCTAACCACGTGTAAACGGCGAAGAATTAAAGGTTTTGCAGATGTGTGCCGAGATTGCCAGAGGGAAATGCCCACCTGAGGCCCCCAATCAATGAGCAAAAGTCTGAGGCACACCTCACCTCATGTGAACACAGGAGCCGTTGAGTTTGTTCATTTGATTTCTGAGGAGTTGCGCAGAAGCAACACTTGAGTTTTGACAAGCAACACAAACAGTTGGGCTCGTTTCAACGCAAGCCTCTTAGCCCACTGAAGATGTAGATGTATATGTAGATGCACCCTCTCCATGAGCTTGCCACCGCCACCTCATTTCACAGACCACCACGGTCGCAGCACGGTTCATATTAGTCAGGTGCATTAACCGATCGCTCCACCGCCACATACGGCCGAGTAAATTAAGTACAGAAAATGCATCAAGTTCGTGAGCATGGACATGCGCACCCGCACTTGGCTGTTTATATCAGCGTCAAGATTCGCCATAAATTCTCCCTACTCCTTGATTGACGGCAAGGGCGGGCGAGACAATAGGAGCCCACTGCTTGGCCGGCCAGCTTCTCTGCTGAGAGAACTGCTGCCGCTGCCCACAGCGGGCCCAAGTGGGGCCCAGAGTGTGTTATAAGAGAAGACCATTGTGAGGCAATGACAGATATTTGTGAGAGACTGTGCACGCCTTCAGGATGACCCCACATGAATAAGGTTATGCTTGTTTACAGAACAACAAATATTAAACAAGAATCACATTAAAACAACAAATCACCTGGCTTGAGTAAGTGATCCAGCAGAATCTGTTCCTATTTCCCAAACCATTTTATTGTCATGTGAATCATATAATCTCACCAACCCATTTTTATGGCCAGTAAGAAAATAGCGTTCATTCTTTGTAACCCAGGCCAATGACAATGCACTGGATTTTGAGACAAAGGTTGCAGATGTTCTGAAACAACCAAACAAAAAACATTAGTATTTGCTGCTGTAAAGTTGCCTTATTTTAAACAATCTAATGATGCATTTTAAAACTCTCATACTTCATTATTTTTACCCAATATTATTTATTAAATAAAACTAGTATCGTATGATGAGAAAAAACTAGATAATTCAGGGTGCTACCTGAATACCCAGTGGATTTTTTCATTTTCCCTGGAAAGATTTGTAGAGAATTTCACACTCTTGCTTTTATTTAACGTGTTTAAAGACTAATACTAATCAGTTGGCTATCACATTTCACTGTGTCAAAGTACAAATAAGCAATTTTTACTGAGACAAAAGTTGAACAAAAATCACACTGTCCTAATGCATTCAAGAAATAGTATTTAGTTTTGTAACTGTTTCAAATTTTTCCCAGACTTCCACAATTCTTCTTCAAATGTTCTAATTTCACCCTGACTTTCCCACGGCAATTAAATTCTTTGGTTATTCTCAATTTTTCATGTTTTCTAGAACGTAGCCATTCTATTTTAAACATCAAAGAATGGAGTAGCACCTTTTTCTTTACTGTTCTTTCTACATACAAGAAACAAATTAAAATAAAAAAAATGAGGCTGCTTAGAGATTTCTTAATATCTGCATTACCTAGAATCAGAAATTACGCACAAACTACTAGTTTTTATTTTTTTATTTTTCATGGCCTTTATTAAAAGGCTGTATTTTAGAACAAATTTCAGTTAGGGCAAAAATCTTTAACTTCATTACTGTACTTTCCGATTTTCGAAAATAATGAGCTCGCTGGAAAAAAAAAGGAAAAAAAAAGGGGGGGGGGCTTGCAAGATAGTATAGGCTAGACACACACGAGCATCAAATGGCGGGCATTAAAGTGCATCCACTATTGCGCAGCAGGGGCAGATTCCGCTGAGGCACACCAGCAAGCTGCAGTGACTTTAGCTGGTACAACCTGTACATTGTAGCGCCTCACACTTGCACCGGGTGCATAACACGTGGATTACTAATGATATATGTTTAAGTGCTTTGAGTTCACATTCATGTTAAAGAAGGTTTTTTCATTCATATAATGGATAGATTAAAAGAAAGTTGCATAGAACAATTGAATAATGAAGTGCTTATGCAAGCATTTCTTCTGGTGATCAAACACTCTTCAAACTGGTATCTTGTCGTTTAATATGATTACATTAATTTCGAGAGCATGTCTGTGAAGGACAGCTTGGACATTCAGAAGTTATAAAAAAATTCACACCATCATACCATAAATTCTAAAAGAGAGTGAAAAATGTTCCTTTCAAAAGATGCTCGCTTAATGATGAATGATATTTCCCTATTCGATTTCTTTGGTGAGAACTTGTAATGTCAGCGGTTGAGAGAATGTCATCTAAGGTTCCAGTGTCGCCTATAGCCATTGTTGGTTAGGCAGATTTTGCGATACATAAAGACAGATATTTCCTAGTAAAGAATTGTCCAAACCAAAAATGAGTGAGCTGAATTCATTAGAATGAAAGAAAGGAGCCTACATTACATCAGTAATATACGTTACTTGATGGATGTTGATATCCAACAGCATGATGACCCTCGATGAAGTTCTTAAGCCTTGTTGTGTGTTATTCTTGCTGGCTAAGTATGTGTGTTGACACAGGATGTAGTTCTTTAGCTGTATTGCACTCAATGAAATACTTATTCTCTCTGGGCCTTCCCCTACTAACAGAAGATTTATTGGCTGAGGTATTCGATATCTATTGGAGACTATACCAGTCTTTCAAAAAGGCATTTCCAATTGAATTGTTTATATGCGCCTTTAAGCATCACCACAAAAGTAAAGCACACCGAATCGTTTATATGTATATGTAACGAAAATATATTTTCTTTATTTTGTATGTGTGTGCTTCCCACCCTTGGCGTGTGGTTAAGAGTGGTTGCGCGTGGTTGAGACTAAGGACTGCTAGATGGAATGAGTGGTACGATTGTTGAAGTTATTTAAATACGCATGAGTATAGCTTGAAGTAATTTATAAGAAAGATACATTGTAATTAAAGTAAGTGGTGTAAACAGAGAAGTGGTTAGTTAGCTTTAATTGTCGTTTCTCTGTTTACAGGTAAGAGCAAAATGTTTATGTTAAATAGTTTTTGTAAATGATAATGTAAGTGATAGTTCATAAAAATGAATAATACTGCACTCTGTTTACAGGGAAACAAATTTAGCTAATCATTAACCTGTCTTATATGTATTATTGATATTTCTTAGAAGAGTGTCATATATGAGACTCCAGTAATATGAAATTCTCCACTATATGTTCACTGCCGTAAGCAATTACTTTCAAGCCCCCTACAGCCCCAAAAAGGTTGCAACATTTACTCTGAGATTCTATACAGGCAGAGCTCACAGTACCTGACCAATGCTTTCAATTATTAAGAATTCATGGTTATATTGAAATTTCTCATAACTCCCATAAAGTAATGGGACCACAGAGGATAATGTCATTTAGTGTCTTAACTTTGAGTCCCTGAGTTTGTATCCGAGGCTCTAGCTGAGCATTGAACTTTATCTCCAATTTCTTGTGGCAAGTGATGGAATTAATTATTTTTGTCGATGTTGTCTTTTTCAGTGAAATTGTTCGAGAACTCTCAAACAAGGGATAATTAAAAATGCATCAGCTTTAGGGGCATTGAGCACAAAAAATATTAATAATTGAAAGGTAGTTAGGCATGAACTTTACAGAAATCATATCAAATGTGAACATGTATTTTATGTTCCATCTTATAGCATGATTTCTATATGGCATTTTTTTTATTCTCAAGGTATTGCAATTAATATATAGACATTTTAATTAGACATTCTACCTGACTATGAATTTGCAAATTTTTAAAAAGAATTGGACACTTTCATAAAAATAAAATATTCCATTCAAGTCTTTCTGAGCATTACTACACTTATAAACTTCATTTTTTAATCTTCATTAATTGCCATTCATTTCATATGACAGTACGGTCCACCAACTCACTTGGGAGTAGGAGTGAGAGTCCAAAGCTTAACAACTCCATCGGTGTCACAACTTGCTATTGCTGAACCAGCACTATTAAAGCGGCATTGGGTGATGGAAGCCCGATGTTCAGCATACTGTTCCTGAAAACAATAGGAGAGCCGTATCAGCAAGAATTTCCTTTGGCAGCAGTTAATTCTCCTTTCCTCAGGATCTCAAAACTTTTCAAAGTGCTTCTCATTTCAAGTAACTGTATCTCCAAAAATAGATAAAACGTTAATATTTACTGAAACAGGAGAGATTTTATTTGTTTCTAGAAGAGAATGACATTTGTCTATAATTATAAAGTTCTAAGATATTTACAATAAACAAATGAGTAAGCAATGCTATACATTATAAGTATACATCAGTCCTTGATCGTGTACCTGGCTGAGAAGTAAGAAGTTACTGGTAGGAGCAGAGATTGTTGATTCAACATTTCCCACGGCAGTGGTCGTGTTTGGTTCTTGCTTCTTCTCAGTGCCCTCTGCCAGAGGTCCTGTTCGTGTTTCAGAACGTCTTGCTGGGGCTGAAGGTATATCTGTTGATGCAGGTGATGTGGATGGTCGGCTGTTCACAGAAGTTCCCAAAGTTGAGGTTGGTCGAGGTTTCTGGACTGACTTCTTATGAACATATTCTTCTGAAGAACTAAGTTTCTTTTGACCTATTTTAGCACAGACAATACATTGAAAAAATATATTGCAATTGAAATTCAAAGTAGTAAAAGAATCTCAAGTTTAAAACCATATATTTATTAATGTTTCTTCATATACTTAACTATAATTTATTTTTTAATTATTCATATTTTTGTAGAAGAAAAAATAATGCAAAGATTATTTGTGAGGGTACTTGATCCAATATGTAAATGAATTAACCACACAATACTAAATAACATTCAAATAAAGTAAAATGCAATTTTTACACTAATAATAATAATAATAATAATAATAATAATAATAATAATAATAATAATAATAAAAAAGACAGAGTATTCAGAATATAAGAAAGTAACTATCAAATATTTGTAAATATAATTTTATGAAGATGAAGTAATTGCCTTAATTACATCATTATTAAGTTCAATGAGCCAGGATCTCAATAGTTTTCTAAATTTAGGAGTGGTAAAATCACAATTTTTCAAATCAGAACTTAATACGTTCTACTAACTAATATCTATGGCCAGTTCTCACTAGTGTTTATTCACCTGCAAAAGGAGGCAAAATAGCATATCTCTTGTGGAACAAAAGGTCTCCGTAATCACATTAGATTTTGGGAAATTTTAATGATAAAGCCTTTTCAATGAGGACTTCCTGATTGATATAACTTTGTTTTCTTTGAATAAATCATTAGTCAAAAACAATATGGGTTTAAACAAAAAAAATTTTCCATGAGAAAATACCATAAACAGCTATAGACCAATAGAACACATGGTACATAGCTAGAAATTGTTTAGTATTTAAGAGTATCCTTAATTTGTAAAAAACATAAATAAGATGTCTAATACTCTTTACACAAGGACAGATTCAGACGAATTTTGGGAGGGGAAATCCAAAATGTTTTCGTTGAATATATCATATTACAGATTTTGTAGTGTTGCAGGCTATAGTGAGTTCATGCTGCAATACAATTTTATAAGTTTTAATGATAATACAAAAATATTTTTTCTTGAAAGTCTCGTGAAAACTAATAGTTACTAAGAAATTTTAGGGGGGGAAATTTCCCTCATTTCCCTCTCTGTGGATCCGCACCTGCTTTACATTATTATCTTTATGTGGCCATTTCAAATGAACATCTATTTAGACATCTAAATACTTTGTCTTCACCATTCTAGATAGATCTAGACAATTACAATTTAGTTAATACAGTTTGTCACAGTCTTTGATATGAATCTTGATTTCACAATTTACTGGAAGGAATCTACAGCTCCCATGTGTAATAAGTACAGTTTTCACAATGTTATGCTTAAAAAATTCCGACATAGCCACTCAAACATTAGAGTTACAATTTGTTCTGCTTTAACATGAACTCTATTCCAAGTATCAACTTTACCTAAAAAGCATGTATCATCAGCAAAAGAAATAAACTCACCTTTGGTAGAATAGAAAAGATATCATTAATGTAGAATAAAACAAAATTTATTTTGATTAATTTCATTGATTTTGAAAAGCTTTTTCAAACATTTACAAAAAGATGTAAAACAAAAACTCATTCCAACAAATTCATAAAGAACATAGAATACACACATGCAATACATACAAATTAGTTTACAATTTTACTATTTGAAGTGGAACATTTCTGACCTTGAGGCGGCTGGTGTTGTTGTTGCGAAACTCTTCTTACAAGAATGGGACTAGTTGGTAAACCTGTACCAATATTGCGAATTAAACTCTTCAAGGTTTTACTTTGATTTTCTGCACTTATGGACAATGCCTCCCTACATAAAACAAAATTTTGTTTTGTTTATATAAGTAAATTTTCTGAACAATCCAAACTTACATCCTTATTGCTTTTAGATCTGGTAGAAATTTTTCTCAATTTTTAATGAACTTGATTAAGAAATCATAACATAAAGGGGAAATTATATAATTAGGTAAAAGTTTATAATACACTGACACATATATTTGCTTTTTGACATTTGGAGAGAAATTCCTGTGAAAGATTTAATTGAGAGTGATCTTCTCACAGTAGCGGCTGGTACTAAGACCAGCTGTGCCCTGTTAGCAATGCCATAGTTAGCTTTTCCAGTGCCCAAAGCAAACAAATTTGTACCTCCCACTCCCACGCATATACAATTGTTATTAAATTACTTTGATAAAGTAATTTTAGAAACTAAAATTATGCATTATATTATTTACTTATTTGTTTGAATGATTGCTTTTAGTTTAAAATACATCCATCTGAAATTGATAACAACTACATTGAAGATTTTATTTATAAAAACAATTTATATTTTTTGTGGTAGTTAAGGTTTTTATTGATAATTTAGTGTTAACTTTTTTGGCAATGGAGGACTGGAATTGTCAAAAAACCTCATGTGATACTGTACAAAAATGAGATTTTTATATAAAAAGTTTTGACAAGGTCATTTTTGTCTCAAAAGCGCTACGTTTCAAGCCGGTTGACGGCATTTCAGAGACAACAACATGTAGGCACAAGTGTGTGCGTGACAAAAACTTTCTCTCTTTCTTCAAACTCATTCTTTCAAGGTTGAGAAGCAGGTAACAATGCAGCTTACCAATGTGCCTGCGCAGGAGAGAGTGGGGCTTATTTGGACGGTTGGAAAGGGTTTTGGAATTAAAGCAGTATATCTTAATGAAATTTCATGAAACTTGCTGAAAACATGATTAAACATTGGCTTTAAGATATGAAAAATATTGACAATAAGAGTAATACATTTTTATCGTAATTTATTGTTGTTCAACTATGTAGCATATATTCCACTGTTCCCCAACAGTGGGATACATTTGGACCACTAGGGGCACACATAGACAGGTTTTTTTCATATGAAGAGACAAGTAAACATTATAATTTATAACCAAATATAATGATTTTTGTTTTAGGAAAGAACTATTAAATAATCAAAGACCTGACTTCATTAAAAATAATTATGACATTTCGTAAACAATGTAGCAGTTTAACAAAATATTGTACAACTGTAGATTAATTGGTATTGAGTTTACACGTGATGTTTTGGTTTTGGCAATTCATGTTCAATCTGTTCAAACTCTATAACGTTCGTATCAACAATAGAAGGAAAAATGAATTCATTACTGCCTTTTCTCAGAAAATTCAATTCATACTGTCCATTAATTTTTTAACTTCACTAACATAAAACTTCCTGTATTTTTTTGGGGCCATACTTTATATACATAGCGCAGATTTTCATGCTCAGCTGTGAATACTTGCTGTGAAATGTATTTTGATTGAAATTGCTTATGAAACTCAATTTTTTATAAGCTGTGTTCATAAGAGTTGTTTCAATTATTTCTTCTACAGACTTCTCTCTGCTGTTCCAATTTCTGTCTTTATTTTGCTTAATTTGTTTTGTTCTGTTTAAGTTTTAGGTTGCTGTAGCATATGTAATTGACACCTTTCCCTCCAATACTGCTTCTTATACTGCAGCAGAGATATGCTCTTCAGAAATGGAAGCCCGATCTGATTTTCTTTTATATTTTCTGACCATTTTATTTACACCTGAAATACGTCATCAATTTGGTTTTAATGCTTCATATTTTAAAAAATGGGCCCATTGGAACACTGTCCCAATGTGCCCCATGTTTGTGTCTCAATTGTGCAATACGATACCCATTTTTTTTTACCACAATTAAAAGTATTAATTAAACAAACAAGGTTACGTTTAGAAATCAAGTTACAGTATTATGTAAACGATATACAATGAGGATAATGTACTGCTGGTTACTAGTTCAATTACCAAGATTAAGAAATCTGGAGACCAATGTAAATGAACCAAACTTACCAGAAAAGTCTATAAGGATATTTTCCTGCACAGATCTTTGGTAAGAGAATATTTGAAAACAGCTCCAGAGGATAACGAAAGAGTTTTGCTAATAGCCCTCCAAATGACCCCAAGTCTCTCCTACCAGGACGACAGAAAATACCCGACTTGTTTCTTGCCTGATGGAGAACAATCACCTCTGAACTGTTGCTGAAATTGCTTCTGAAATCAATACAAGCTACGGCAGTTTTATCCATTATTACAAAAAAATCAAGAGTTTTAAAACGTATATGCAAGGTTTGTGTTCCAACTTCTGATCAGAAAATGTATCGTCTTGAGGAGTGCACATTGCTTTTGTCACAATTCCAGATTGAACGGGACGATCTTTTAAATTGCATTTTTACTTCCGAAAAAACAATGATGCCCCTTCATACCCCGGAATCAAAGCATAGAGTGGTTATAAAAAAAAAAGCACCACCCGCATTCATGAAAGCTAAAACTTGACTCCCTTCGGAAAAGGTTTTTGCAACAGTCTTTTGATTTCGAAGGAATTCAGTACATTGATTTTCTCCACTAACGTCAAAGTGTGAACACTGCATACTACTGTGAATTTCTGGATAAAGTAAAGCACATACATTGTTAAAGAAACAAAGCAGAATTCTGCAACCCTAACTTGCAGTATTGCCCTGGACTACACTACTGGTGTAAACTACAACACCCACCCTACAATCCAGGTCTGGGCTTGGCACCTGGCGATATTTCCTTCAGACCACTGAAACTAGCACTTGGAAGAAAGGGATTTGAAGACCATGTTGCCATCGAAGCTTTTGTGCGCAATTACCTTTAAGAGTCATTTTATGAGATGGATACAAAACTACTAGCTGAAAAAAACTTGTTTCTAAGGCAGGGAACTATGTGGAAAACTACACATGTTCATTTTTATGTTTTTGAAGGTTCAAGCATTTTAAATTTTAAAAAAAGTTTATATTTGATTCCTCTTCACATCAGGGAGTGATCATCGCAGGCCAATTTAATGATGATTCACTAATACATTTTTTAAAATGAAGCAGTAAGTGAATAGGGGCTCATCAAAAGCTTTGGAAAAATCAATGAATACACCACTCCTTTGTTTTTCATTTTCAAAGGAATCAAATACTTTATGGTTATATAAGACAGTTTGTCAACGTTCCCTTACCTGGTAAAAACAATATTGTTTTACAATTGCTACAACAGCTTGTTAGTGCCACCATTAATATATAATAATAATAATAATAATAATAATAATAATAATAATAATAATAACAACAACAACAAAAACAAAAAAAAACTGAGGGAAGAATAAGAATTTCGAATACTTTTGCTACAAGATTTTGGATTGAAATTGGCCTATAGTTATTTACTCCTGTTTAGCTTCTTGATTTGTGAATGGATGTTTTGTGACTTTCATAAAGCTGGAAATTTCCCTTCTGCTTGTTACAAATTTGTGAAAGTGGTGTTCGAAACATTAGCACTTTCTTGAGAACAGAAGCTGGAATTCCATCACAACCAAGGCCCTTTGATACTTTAATTGACTTCAATTCATCAAAGCCTTTGTTATGAGAAATATTGAAGTTCAATAATGTCTGGTTTATGGAAATCACAAAAAACAGTGTGCATCACAACTGATGAACATTCACATATCTCGCTCCAAGTGCACAGATTCAAAATAATTTGCTAACAGGTTAACGGCCATAGAAGTAGTGTTTGCTAATAGTCTAACTGCCACAGAACCTGTTCCAAATTCAAGTCCAGATCGCAATTTTGACAGTGATTGTTTTATCGATTAAAGCATAAGGCTAGTGTGTGGCAGTGCAGCAGCACTCTTGAACCAGCCACTACTGTCTTCCAATATTCTGTTATCTGTCTATCCTGTCTTCCAATATGTTGTACTATTCACAACTAATCAAAAAAACAATGAATAATACATACTGTGCAATAACATAGAAGTCATCCATAAGATCTGTACCAGACGGTGAAGAGTCAGATGTAAACTGCACAGCAGATTCACTTTGAGTATTGCTTCCACGACCACTCTCTGACAGAGTAGCTAATTTAAGCTTTAATGACTCATTTTCATCAACAAGACGGCGAATTCGTGCAGTCTCATCTTCATATGCACACAGTACAGGCAAAGGCATGCACTAAAATTAACAAAACAAAGAAAATTAATATAAATGTTTCACGTAAATATTGTTAAGAAATTTATTAGAATATTTCATGAATGTGTTGAAGAAATTGCAACCATAATTTAAATAAGATTTTATTTGTTATTACAGATAAAAATCTTGAAAACTTACTGTTATGGGGGAATTTTCCCCATCATCAATGGCGCTATAGCTACGACATTTTGGTTATATTGTCAAAAGGTCTGTATAATTATTATGAGGCAAAAAAACATAACTGCAATGGCTGACATGCAGGTATGTAGATATGTTTATATGCCTAAATATTGTAGATTAGCATCACTGATTGGAAAGATTCCCCAAAACAAGTGTCATTCTAGGTTGATCTAAAGTAATTAATGGTGCAATGAATTGGCACTGACTTTCTCAAATAAGCTTCCCATTCTCTCAAATTAAGGACAGTTTTGGTCAACCCCATTCCCAGCTACTATGATTGCACAACCTCCTGATAATCGAAAAAAATTCATATAATGTGTTAGGAATATACATTTTCCATTTAGTGGCATTCAATATTCAAGATATTACAGCAGTATCGATGTGCCCTCTCTGGTGGCACATTGCAAGTCAGGCAGGGCACCAATGCCATGTTCTTATATTGCACATAATGCAGGCCTAGAGTCCCTTGCTTCACAAAACTACACAACCCCATGCTACACACATTCTACACAACGAATTGTCAAAGCAAATGAAGCCTGTAACTTGTTACAGGCTTCCTTTGATGTTACGGAAAACGTGTTGCCTTAGTTATAGTCTTTACGCTTTTGTTTAAAGAGTCAAATTTTAAAACTGGGTCTGATAAAGATCTAGCAAACTTTTAAATAATTGAACATTTTTCATTATTAACAAATTCTCTCAATGTGTCTACAGTATTCACATTATTTTTGACACTTCCTGACAGTGACAATGTCACAAGAACATCTTTAAAATAAAAGTTGATTAAAATTATTTAGGAAGTAGAATAGCATAAGACTGTCTGTGTAATTTAAATATTTTATCAATTGAACATGAAAAAACATTGTTTAAGTCTTCATAGGTAAAGAATTTGTAAGGTTACAGAAACTTGACCAGACCAATGAAATAACATATAGGTAATAGGTATAGAAGTTGAGTAATTAAGGTATAGTCAATTACTTATAGACAATTCAATGAAAATTAAATTCAGTATTTTCAAGTGTGTTAATAATGAATTATCATCAGTTATGTCTAGAAATTTGGCACAATGTTTGTTTACTATTGTAACACTTTTTAAGACTTAACAATAAGAAAGACCCAAAAGTGCTTCTGGAGTGTTAGACGATGCTAGATTGTTGAGGCAAAGTCATTATAGCTCAAGTCTCGCCACATAAAATAAGGCAAATTCAATTATATCAGCCAAGAGGTGTTGAACTTTGTCTGCAGGACACATTAAAATTCACTCTGAGAACGTGAGAATCAAGATTGTTGGATTTCTTTCATTGATGTTGACAGGCTTTGTTTGCTCAAGAGGAATCCCATCCCACCTTCAATTAAAGCCTCTGATCCCTTCTGAGGATAGAGCACTTGGTACTTGATACTTCAATACTCCCCTTCAAAGTGATTACAGACAAGTTCGAAGAACAAAATCAATAACAGCATTTTTACTTATGCTATTTCACGATACAGATGAGAATAGTTTGGTCCTCAATACATTTCATCGAGAGTGTTGCGATGAAACAAACAGTAGTCAATGATTTGAAACTGTAGTCATTACATCAAAATTTAGTACACCATCACAAAGAATTTTCAGTAGGAAAACTGAAAAATAATCTTTCCGATAGATGGAATACCCAAAAAAATACAGTGTTCAAGTGCAATCATGATTTCAAAGAAAATATTGTTTCCTTCTGTGGAAGTGCTGGTGTGAATTTCAGTTAAATTGTTTTAATTATGAATTTTGAAAATTATTTATTGATTTTGATTTTTTTTACAATAAATTATTTTTAATGATAATTTTTCATTGTTTACATGCATTTTGTGCGTTCGTATTTTGGGCAGCCTCATTGTTGCCCATTTTAGTGAAAATAAATAACTTTTTGCATGCCTACTTTAAGTAAAAATAAATGGCTTCTGGGCTCCAATTACGTCCAATGGTATTCATTGAACAAAGCAAAATGCATAACTAACTCCCATTGGGAGCAGGCAGTTTTGAGGTGTATGATGCAGTGCAGGATGTGAGTAAACAGTGAGGGGGGGGGGGGGGAGAGATTTTTCTGTGATAAAAATACAACCTTGGTTGAATTACATTCTTATTGTCTTTTACTTACCTGGAAGATTGTAGCCAAAAAATTATGCAATGACACAAGCAATGTATCTTGCCATTGCTTCGTAAAATGTACAGCAAAGATAGGATTTTCTTCAGGGTATCTCACGAAAGGAAGCACTGCATGAAAATTAATAATGTTACCAAAAGCTCTCTGAAGCACCAAAATTGGAATGCAGTAAATTTTGAAAATCAAATAACACAAAAAAAAAATTTCACAGTATTGCAAATTCTTAGTATTAAATTTTTACAAAACAATTCCAGAATTACTTTACTTTGATTTATCTATAGTGGCTGATGGCAATAGGTCCTGCCTTATAAAATTAATATTTTTAATTAATTTGCTAAGGTCCTTCTCAACAGGACTCATGGCCCGAGAAATTTGCTAATCAGTTAAAAAGATTCATTTTACAAAGCAGGTGTAACAACGACCTAATGTCATCAGCCACTATAGAAAAAACTCAGTACAGAACTAAAATAAGTATCACTACAACAAGATTCAAGACAATTACTTACTGAACCATTCTTTCCATTCCGGCTGACTTAAAATATCTGGGGTCATTTTATTGAAAAAATCCATGACTTTATCTGGTTTATTTGTTACAACTGCATTAACTAAGTAAAATTTTAGGACAGCATTTTCCAGTTTACGTACAGCTGTGAAGGACAATATTTTCACTCTTAAACATCAAATAAGCCATGCAGTAATGGAAGGTGTAAAAATTGATGCTATTTTCTAAACCCTTGTGCCTCATTTACTGTACTTCTCTAACATATCTAAGAACATACAGAAGCCATTATCTTATAACATCTACCTTAAAAACACTATTCTACCAATAACCGTAAACCATAAATATCATTTAATATCATTCAAAGAACCCTAACAGTTTAAATAATCATTATTATATCAGCAAATTAATTTTATACCCCAAATGGATTGTGAATAAACACAACCACCGACACAACAATACTCTTCAAACTTTTTTTTACTAAAACACCAGTTGCTAGAAATGCTACAAGCCTTTAATATTTGAAGACTATAAAGATAACAAAAATTACAAATTTGCTTTTCATTCTTAAATTGAAAATGTGCAATGGGTGTAACTTTTAAATGTATCATTCAGCAGACCACAGTCCGCAAAATGCTCAACACACTCAACAATTATTTGTAAGTGTAAGTACAGTTGGCCAATACATAGTGTCATGACAGTTTCATTACTCCCCCCCCATAGCTTACACATGAAAAACAAGGGAGCAAAACTGTACACTTGCCTGGAATGAAGTGATGTTCCAATTTCGAAAACACCTTCTGATCTAAATGTAGCCAAAGTTCACGTAAAGATGTTAAATCACATGATGTTACATGCTGAAGAAGCAACTCTACAATTTTATCAACCTATAAACAATTATTAGTCATATATAGTAGTATGTAGAAATCATGATTAAGAAAACACAATAGTGTGTTCATTCCTTGGTAGTAGGACAAGTAACAATGACCTATCTTTAATCAGTTATATAAGATCAATTAAAATTCTTCACAAAATATCTTACCCGAAATCCTTTGTCTTTATCTACTTTCAATTCGGAATCAAATGCTTTGACAGTAGAACTAAAACCTCTAAAAATCAGATATTCTCTAATTAATTCTTCCACAAATTGTACTTGAGCCATAATTCTAATTCTATCACACTCCACCTCCTCAAATAATGTCAAATATCTGTCATGTGGTAAAATAAATGCACCATATTACGTATCCGTGAAACGCTACTTGCCTCGCACAACGAAAGCACTAGAAACTCACTCCACTGGCAAATGTCAAAACCGAGCGCCAGCTGCCAGACAAGTTTGCATCAGCTCGCGCTTGTATTAACTCTTTTTCTTAAAACATTCCATGACAAGGAGAAAGTAGCTTCGTGGTGGTGAATACGGATTTCGATTTCAAAAATGGATAATTTCGCTTTGGATTTATAGATTACGTTACAGTTTTGTTAAATAAGAAATACACCATCAATTATAATTCGTTTTATGGCTGTAGTATCGGTGCCCGTGCCTAGTAAAATATACTCTCTGGAGAGCGCTGGTTGGCGTCTTGACAAACAATATTTTTGCTACGTTGTCAACCTTAGCGAGTTCTACTACGAATATTGGCAGCATTGTTCAGACGACAGTTTGAGTAGTGTAGTTTGAATTTTCAAAGTGTCAATTGTGTTCAATCGCGAAGAATTGGTATGATCGCCAATTTTTCATTATTTGTATAATTTACAAGTGTTACAGACGTTCTATCGAACTTCGCTTTTGAACTTTAAAGGTATTGAAGTATTTTTTGTCGTGTTTAAATGAAGGGAGATCCAATTCATTTGTTGCCTTTCGTTCTCGCTGCAATTCGTCACAATTCGCTGCAACTATTAATTAAACTTGAACTTTATTGACTTTCCTAGGCCTTTTCAATATCACCAATTCGATTTTTGTTTTTATTGTTGCTAATTTTGTTTGAGCTGCAGAGTAGTTTTGTCAAAATGTCAATGTTTATATTTTAAGGGATAATGTTTTCTTTAGATTTCAGTTTTTACCAATTTAATTGTCAGTTATATAAATTAATTTTGGCGTATTGAAAACTAATATTTTTTCAGTTACATTTATTCTCAATTTTTCAGGTTTAGTATGTTTTTTAGTATAAACTGTGAAATCTATTATTTGTTGATTAATTTCAACATTGTCTTGATAGAAATAGCCTAAAATAATATTACTAGTAATATTTGTAGATTGGATGTACTCGCAGACGAATGCAATTCAGCTAACTTTTACTAATTAATCAAAGTATAACTGCCTGTTGTCCTTAAAATTTATGTTGCCTGACATTATTTTGGATTTTATCAGTTAACACATTGAAATGGTGCTGTAACATTGTTATAAATAATTAACATATTTGATTGTCAAAAACATGAATTAAACTTATTGGCACAACAGTCTTGAAAAATAAATATATAAATATATATTTATATTCTGACGTTCTGTTCTCAAAGCTTTGATTTTCAAATTGAAAACTTCGTTAAGAGGAGGAAAATTTATGGGGAGGTATTATAATGGTACAAATAGAAAAAAGCAAGAAGAATGGATGAAATTTGATAAAGAAATAAAGTACTAAAACTGCCAGGAGACATCAGAGATGTAGAGACCTAGAAGGGACGCTTTTTACTGAAAATTGGTATCTTAAAGGTATGGATGTTATATTATGAAGATCTTTTGAATTAAGAAGTATTGATCACAGAATTTTCTCATGAAAACATAGAACGAATTCAAGATCAATCAATGGATTTACTTGTTTACACACACGAAAAAGTAGTGTGTGAAATAATAAAGAAAATGAAAAGAAATAAAAATTCCATTTCAGATATTACAGCAAAACTGTTGAAAGCTGGAGACCAACCTTTTTTCAGTAAAAATACATAGTTTTAGTGAAAAATATTGGATGAATCACAAATACTCAGTGAATAGCTGTAAGGAATAATATGTTCAACTTACACACACACGTGTACATAGAAGAAGAAAAAAGGATATTGAAAATGTGTGATGACAAATACAGAAATATTACCCTGTTGAATAAAATGAAAAATATTTCCCTCTATACTACATAATTCAGGGTAAGGGAAATTAGGTTTTCAAATTGGCTGTCACCTTGACCATTCAATAATGGACAATGTTGGCAACACAGTAAAAGAAATTTGGAGAAATGTTACAAGAATTACATTGATTCATTCACTTTAAACAGGCTTTTCACAGAGTTAAATATATAATAGTAGAGTTAAACTAGGAGTGCCAACAGAAATTACTTGATTAGTTCAATTGACTTAAAAAATATCAAAGCTGAGGTTTAAATTAACAATTATTATTCTCAACATAGTGAAATAAATTCAACTTCCAGGCAAGGAGAGATCCCCTTCCAGCGCTAGTTTTCAAAGTTGTAAAAGATAGAACACTGAGAAAACTAGATGTTTAGGGCATGACATCTAATAGAATGAAGCAGATTTTTTCAAACAATGACGATGTATTAATTCTGGCAAGATTGGTCTAGGCCTCCCAGCAGCTGAAAGCTGATTCTGAAGAAGTGGTCCTAATTATAAATGCTTCAGAAGAAAACCTGAGAAATCAATGCTTGTTCTAGAGTAGGGTTGTTCACCTGAAGGCCAGCAGTTTCATTTATTGTGGTCTGCAAAATATTATTAGTTAGAAGCGCAAGTTCCTTGCGTCCATGTCGAGCAAGGGGGTGAGAACATTGTGTACCTAGTGCACATGCTGTACTAGGGACAACACCCCCACTTTGTAAAAATAGGTTATTTAGAGTTAAGAATTGTTTTCTTAATAAATTCAGAAATTAAAAATGATCCCAATATGTCTCACTCCATTATGCCTCTTGGCCTCATATTGTGCGCAGTTCCGCCAACCCATTTCAGAGCAGCTGGTCAAATTTCCGCGAACAATAGTGTGGGGCAATCAGGTGTGGATCGCCCTAGCAATGAAATTTTGCCCTGCAACCATATTAAAGGTGTTAGTTGTTCTTGGGGCTTTACAAGTTGAAATAGCCTGTTCTAGATCTTGAAATCATAAATCTACTCTTATTTAAAAACCTTGGCACAACAGTCAACATTACTAAATGCTTGTTCTATCCTCTCCCTTACATGCCCAGAAACCCCTTGGGAGCTTAGTGCCCCCTGGTGGGTGGACCCTGAAGAGGAAATCCCCCGCAAGCCCCCCAAGTGTAGGTGGAGCCAGATCGCACCATTCAATGGGGGAAGTAACTCTGTCATATCCTGGGATAAAACATGACATATGCTAGTTAATGAGACTAATGACTGCAGGTTGACATGCCCAGAAATATCGATCATTCAATCAAACTAGAATGAGGCATTTTTTAAAGAAAAATCTTATTGGAAATCTTTGGTCCTACAAGACTTGGTAATAATATCTGGAAAATGAAAACAAACAATAAAATTGATGTACTGATAAAGACTAATCTGTTGTCAGAGAAATGCCTGGATTGAATATCTAGATAGAATTACTAAGAAACAACAAAATGGAAACCATTAGCAAGACCGAAAATAAAATGGAAAGACAATATTGTGGAAGACCTATGTAAGATGAAAATCAAGAATTGGAAGATGTCTCAAGACTAAAAGGAGTGGCAAAAGATTGTTGAGCAGACCAAGATGCACCTAGAGTTGTGATGCCATGTGATGATGATCCTTTCTTAATACTCGAAGTTGTTGTATGATTTTCCTTACATTTTAATAATTGCATTTCAACCCGAGTTCTTATAGAGCTCTTATCTTAATGGATTTTGTCAACTATTATATTGTAGTTTTCTGCTTAAAAAGTGATTTAAAAATTAGCACTTAATGGACACACCATCAGCAGCCTCTATTTTTTCCATTATTGTATTTTATTGTTTGTTTAGCCTTTAGAAAGATGGCTCGCTACTCTGTTTTGAAAGGTTTCTATGATGTGGAGCAAACAATTGGAAGTGGAGGTTTTGCCAAAGTAAAATTAGGGACTCACTGTCTTACAAAAGAAAAAGTAGCTATCAAAATTATGGAAAAATCTAGATTAGGGGTAAGTTGTGTTCCCAGTTTTGACATTGCTTACTTGTAAACATGATTGTAATGATACTACAGTTTTTTCTGAAACTATCTTAATACGAATAAGTATTTTCTATTTTTAGGATGATCTTCCTCGTGTAAAAATAGAATTAGAAGCTTTAAAAAATCTTCCTCATCAGAATATTTGCAAACTTTACCAAGTAATTGAAACAGAATCTCATTACTACTTGATTTTGGAGTACTGTTCTGGAGGAGAACTTTTTGATCATATAGGTAAAGTAAGAAAGAGGAAACTTCCTTTTTGTGATGTAACCTGATCATATGATAAACCTGCTTATCAGTTAATTTTTCTTTGTAGTGGAAAGAAACCGATTGGAAGAGAAACAAGCTCGGGTCTTTTTTCGTCAGATAGTGTCTGCTGTTGCATTTTTACATGATAAAGGTTATGCTCATCGAGATCTCAAACCTGAAAATGTCCTTCTTGATAAAGAGAAGAATTTGAAATTGATAGATTTTGGACTTTGTGCAAAACCTCAGCCAGGTCTTGACTCATTTCTTTACACATCCTGTGGGTCACCTACTTATGCTGCTCCAGAGCTCATTCTTGGCCAAAAATACTTAGGTAGGTAGCATATACTTGCAAAAATGTATATAAAGGAACAGTTTTTATATGTAATAATTGACTTACATTTTTTAATTTTTGGTTAGGTTCTGAAGTGGATATATGGAGTTTAGGCATTCTGTTGTACGCACTGCTTTGTGGAGTGCTGCCTTTCGATGATGAAAATATAGATAGTTTGTACAGAAAAATATTGGTGAGTTTATGTGGAATTATGTAATGCAATGTGCATTTGGTGATCTGATCTATTTGTTTTCTGAACTTCAACAATAGAGTGGAAGATATGAGGAATCATCCTGTCTCTCACTTGAGAGTAAACGGTTGATCCGTTCTATGTTACAAGTGGATCCAAAAAAACGTATTACTATTGATGACTTATTATCTCATCCATGGTTAATGAAGGGTTTCAAGGAACCTGTGACTAAGCTGAGTTTACATAAGGTGAGATACGTAAACTCCTTATAAAGTTTAATTTGAACCCAAAAAAATGTAAATTACACTGAAGCAATTTACAACCACATCAGTTTTCTTGCAATTAATTCATCATTATCAACTATATTCCATCTATATTTACATCTCAGATTCATTTGCTTCAGGCCTACCTTATTGTACCAACAGTAACTCTTGCAAATAGAAATAATTAAAAAAATATAGAGAGAAATTGTGGAATTCACAAACAAATTTGTCCAAGACCATCAATTTACATTACCTTTCTATTTTTTATGATTAACATACAATTTCAGTACACACTATTACATCTCATTAGGCAATTGCAAAATATTCTAAAATGCAATGCAAATTTGAATCAAAGGCACCTGAAGCATACACCACATTACACCTTTTCACCTTCTTTGATTAATCTCTATTCTTGAACATTTATTAATTACATTCCCCCTTGCCCTCTCAAATCTCACCATTCAAGCTTCTTATCTACTCCTTCCTCCTAGCTTCTTCTATCACATCTTTTTTCAACTTTGCCATTGTATTTCTCACATAATTATTTTTAATGATACATAAATTTTGATTTCAGGGGACTTCTGGGTTGATTTGGCTCAACTTGAAGTCCTGCAATTTTTAAAAACATTCCTTTATTTTTGGGGTACTTCACATGAACCCTTGGGACATTGTCAAAATTTTCTCAAAAATGGCTCTAAATTTTTTGTAAGAAGAGAATGAAACACGTAAAGATGGCATAGGTCCAGTTATGAAGGTCACCCCTGAATTTCCGCATAATTGTAGAAGTTTGATGTCTTTTTCGGCTTCATCCTACAACTACGATATTGGAGATTTTTTCTTCATATTAAATTTGTTCTCCACAATTACTTTTTTAATTAATATCAAGTATATTTTTTTAAAATCTGAGTAGTTTTTACATAATTTTGAGTGATATCTGGGAGAGGGAAATGGCAAAAAAAGGCTCCAAATTTTTTCTGCAAATATTTAATTGGGATAGTGCTAAATGCACTGTAAAAGTTGACATCAATGTCATTGTGCTGCATTCCTTTATTTTGTTTTCCAAAAATTACCTGAATGTAATTTTTTTGTTTCTCACATCGTTAATTAGAGGCAATTTGAACAAATTATTGCATTTGTGAGAACAAATGCTTAAAATAATATCTTATAAAATTTTCCAAAACTCAAAGATTCTTGAAAAATCAGCTCAAAATTGTGCATTTTCAGAATTGTTAAAATTGATTTCTTTCAAAAACAGATCAAATTTTTTTTCTTTAATTTTTTTCTATGGTAGTGTTAAATTCATGGAATATAATAAATGTCATAAATTCCACTTTGTTGTAATGTTTCATTGTTGTTTTTCCTCTTAAAAAATTTCCCTTTTTTAATATCTCTCATGTTGTTAATATTTACATTGTGGACCTTTCTCATTCATTGTCACATTTGAGCTTATTTTTTCTTCACATCATCTTTCTTGGAGTTTCTCAAAATTCAATAGATTTGCATAAAAATAAGCTTAAAATCATGCATTTTCAGAATAAATAGAAAGATTGTTCAAATGACATTTTCTTAATAACTGCTTCTAATTTTTAAATGAAAATGTACATACAGACCAGGATTTTAGTATTCGAAAATATTCTTAAAGCCAAATTCAATTCCACAATTAGGAATCTGAGAAAACATTTTTTGTCATTCATGTGTGCCGGAATTTTGTTCTTTTTTTTCTCCCTCCCCCCCCCCCCCCCCCGCACTGTATATTCTTTTAATTTAATGTGCATGAAAATGTCAATTCCTGCTCATTCAAAAAAAAAACTTTACTCCAATGACTTCTTCATTCTAACCAGTTTCTTAATCTAATTGCAGCAACGCATTGCTAACACACATGTTCCAGCAACCGGTAACACGGTTTCCTTGTATTGTAAAGTCCCCTCTCCTAATTTTTTTCTTGCCTTACAGCTTCTAATCTCTTTTCTTATTAAATAAATTAGTGTGATTCTTTCTAACCCTAGGCATCACCTGAAGATTTTTTTTCCTGACAAGTTTCTATCTTTCTTCTTTCATTCCAGCTCCATAATTCTGTTGCTCATAACAGAATATTATACATCAAGCTATCAAATTTTCCTGCAAATAATGTTGTAGAGTCAGAATAAGAGTTTAGTTTGTTTTGTTCTGTTTTTTAATTATTTTGTTTGCCATGTTTCTTTTATGTCAGGTCCGTGAAAAAGATCCTAGTTGTTTAAGTGTAATGGCCCAGTACTATCGAGTATCAGTGGATGTTATGTGGTCAAAACTGAATTCCTGGACATATGACTATAACACTGCTACTTACATGTTACTTCTTTCCAAGAAGCAGAGGGGGCTTCCGATAAAGCTTCATCATTTTGCTTTGCGGGATAAAATGGTTTGTATTTTTTTGCCTTTTTTCCATTTATTTACTGTTTTTTCTCTAGTTTGATGATTGGCCTTGTTCGAATATTGTTCGAATATTAATTGAATTTTTGTTTCTTGATTTTTTGTTAGGAAAGCGGATTTAACAAATTGGAGTCCCCGCTTACAAAAGGATATCCACTTTCTGTTACCTACAACAAAGTAAATAGTCCCTTGATGACAAGATGCACAGAATTGAAAACTACATATCTTATATTAAATGGTAGAGAATCAACTCCAGATAAAGTATTGAATAAAGAATTAAATATAAGTATGTATATTGATTTGGTTTCATTTTACTGTCTTTGGTTAGGAGAGTAATATTGACAGTTGTGTTTATTAAAGCAGGTGATCTTGGAGTCCAATCTTTGGAAACAAAGGACCCCAAATCCAATGTTGAGCAGGAAAATTCGCCTTGTGTAAGGCCAACTCCAATGACACGCAAACCTCACAAACGCTTATGGAGCCCAGGGCCAGATGACACCCAATCTCCTGGTGAGTTTAACTTCACCAATGATAAACGATCCAGACTTCTTTTATTCTTTTATTTCTTGTTGAGTGACTATATCTTGCCATTTTCTGGTATAAAGAAATATCTTGTTATCATTTCTCATTTAAGCATGTCCTGCCCTTTTTAGTAAGTGTATTTTGTTTAATTCTTGAATTAACATAGGAAGTACTTTGGTATATGTTTTTACCTGAAGTTATAATTAAAAAGCACTTGGTTTCAAAACAATTAAGCCTAATGGGGGGAACTTAATGAATTTTAGTTTTTATACCCTGAGCGTTATTTTTAACTACTGGTAATAGTGTAATGAAGAATGAGTATTATCTTTTCTGTTACAGTGCCATCTAAACTGAAACCCAATTCCTGTTCTGGTGATCCCCAACAAGGTTTTAATTCATCAAGGTGAGTGTTTTGCTTTATCCTGTAATGTTTTTTGTGCCATGTAACTGTTGTAAATTCAATCATGAAAAATGATTAAATTATTGATTGATACAGTACTGTACGCAAAAATTCAACCACTCAATTTTTTGGACCAATCCGTTTATATTTCAACATTACTTTTTTTAGGCTCATACTCTTGAACTCATCAATACAGTTTGTATTTCTTGATCCCTTACAAAAAAGTGTAAAATAATACATACCTTTTCATATTGTTGGTAAATGTTATGTAATGTTAAAAATATTGCATTCTATTTCGTTGTGATTGTTCAAGATTATCCTGTTAATTATGTAAGTTTCCACTTATTCGGGATAATGTGACATATCTCTGATGCATTGTCTGACCAGCAATGAGATGCCAAAGCACTTGGTGGGCGCTCTTTGGTTGCAAAATGGTTTCATATATTGATATATCAATAATATTTCATTTATTGAATGACATTAAATTGAAAAGATACATTTCTATCAATGAAGAGTATTTTATCGCGGGATTGTGTAACACTGGAGGGGGTGTTTGGTTAATAATATGGCATAGGTCTATTTTAATTAAAATCTTTGCAATTTTGAAAATTGCATAAGGTCAAACATTTTTGACTCCCTCCTGTGAATAAATTATTAAAGAGATGCAATATGTTTATGTATATTCAATCAATAAGATTTCAATTACCCGTTTATGAGAATATTAGTAGTTATCGTATTTTTTTAGTTATATTTTGACAAAGTTCAACGTTTTTGAACCAGTCCTATATCTTTGATTCTGAAAGAAGAGGTTTCTTTCCTCTTAGGACTGCTTTACCGATAACACTGAAAGTATGAACACCTCTACTTTTTAAAATAAATTGAATTTTTCTTGTCGTGCATTGGTGTTGGGTCGCATCCTTATCCCTACAATGCAAATTCCAACCCTGAGCCGGTCCGCCGTGGGAGCGCAGGCCCTGGAGAGGCCGGCGGGTGGGCGGGGCGCGCAATGGGCCGTAACGCCGCCTATGCTCCATGACTGGGCAGCCTTCACGCGCCCTGACTGCGCGGTGCTGCCCACCTGCTGACGCCGCGCCGCCACCGCACGCCTGGCGCCACCCCCGCCCCCGGCGCCACTGCCGCGCCCACGCCCGGCCCCGGCCCCGCGCTGCTCTCCGTCAAGGTAAAGCCAAGAGCAGCTAACGGCTGCACTGAACGTTCAGCTCTAACGAACGGGCCAAGGACTGCGCGCTATGTGTCCTTCTTTTTCCCTGCCCTGTCCTCGGCCCTTACACGCATTTACATTTACAAGTACTACACAACCACACTTGTTGGAAGCTTAGAGCTTGCCCCAGCTGGGGTGGTGTCACGCTGGTGGGAGATACCAGGTTGGGAAAAGCCCGCTAACCGACCGTAGGTCGGCGCCAGATCTCACCATCCAGTGGCGAAAAATCACCGCCGGGAGCGGGGGGCAGTAGCGTGACAAGATGAATGCGGGCCCGCCCCCAAATATTTTATCCGAGCTCCTTATGAAAGTGTATAGCAAACACAACTAGTGTTAGTATTTTAGTTAGTTAGTTAGTTCAATAGTAAAAATATCCTTTATCAAATACATACTCATAGTCTATGATTACTGCATAAGAAATTAATGTTACTATATATTTTGTATCAACAATCGCAAAGTATTAGAGAAAATATCAAGTTTCATTCAAGCAATAATTCTTTCAATTGCAAAACCTTCAGCCTAGAAATAGTCCCTCTTTTACCAGGGCTCACCTGCATTGCAGACCAGAACATCATGCCACTGGGGGGACAGTTTTGAGCTCATTTTCACAACAACAACAAACTTTTGAGTTTTTGAGAAACTTCACACGAGCAATCATGTATAGAAAAACCTCACTTCCCCAAGTATGCCAGTGGAGAGAAGCTTCAGGTTCATCGTAATGATGCAATACAGCATTTGGGCCCATACTCTTGTCCGAAAATTGCTACTATTCTGTAAATATAAAATTAAATACATTAAATAATTTATGGTTCAGAATTATATTAATTTCTATTTTGACAGAGGAATTGCAATGAATTAAGAATTTCCATTTGATCTTTGCCTTTTTCCTTCTCTATTTATAGGAGGTTTGTAATGTGTCCACAACATCCAATAATAATCCTGATGCGGTATTGGGAGAATTACGGAAGGCTTTACTGAAGAAAGGTATTGACTGTAAACAGAAAAAAGGGTAAGTCGAGTCAAATTGATGACCATTTCTTCTCCTATATCATATATTTTGTTTTTATTTATTTTGTCGCATACTATGGGATTGCCTGTGAAATCCCTTACCTAACACACATACATATTAAGTTTACCTATGTATACAGGTAACAACAAGCACTTTTGTCTAGAATTGTTATAAAAAGATAGAACAGAAGACTTACAAAAAAAGCTGTTTGCAAAGCCAAATCAGCTAGTTTTTGTTACTATCCCTTATCATACCCTTCATGGAGGAATCGACTTACTGCCTGGAAAACATGGACATTACATGAATAAAATATTTATTACATAAATTTTAAAAACTGATATTGCTTGTCCTACTGGATAATTTTTTAAGAGTATATTTTTATCTTTGTGAGCAATGATAGACATTGTACAAACATGAGAACTTGATAATCAGTAAACAATCATTGTAACATTCTCTTTGTGGTGCTACATGTCTGAGACTACCAATATTTCTCTTAAATTGAGATTAATTATCAAGAAACAAGCCCTTACACATTCCTTTCACACCTAAATATAATATTCTTAGTGCACGTGGCTCAATGTAAATGTAGTGCAGGCATCTAAGTGTGTTTTCATGTAGGGTAACTTGCTTCTTCACCATGTAATTCTAAATACGTGTAAGAAAAAATGGACAATTGTTTTAGTGAAACTTTTTTTTTTTTTTTGAAATTTATTAAGTTGCAAAATAAATTTCACTAAAAAATAATATAATAATAAACAGTTTTGCAAAATATGTAATGAAAAAATTTGATATTATGGTAGGATTGACCTGACTCACCAAGATCACAATTTTGAGAACTGGACATAAACAAACAACATGTAATTACATAAATATATAGTTATAGTTATAAACATCTGTATTTGCCAAAAATGTGTTCCCACCCTTGAGCAAGTCATTTATTTAAAAACCACTAATTAATAAATCAAGAGGCATAGCAGTAGTATAATCCCTAGCTTAATAAAGAGATGCTTACAAGAATCATGTAGGTGGGATATTATATTATTATTGTTATTATTATTATTATGATTATTATTATTTGTACAATTCTTTTCTGTAAAATAATTAAAGATATCCTACCACAACACCTATCTTTTCTGTAATTTAAAAGCCTGGGTGCTATAGAATGTTTCCTCAGAATATTATGCCATATCTCAGGCAGGAATAAACATTCACAAAATATACATAATGAGCAATAAGAAAGCTGGCTGAATTTGAAAAAATTCTGAACGCACTACGTAATAATCTTTTAAAATGTCATTTATTTTCCTCCCAATTCATTTATATTAACTTTGCATAAGGTTTAACTGAATGGACGACCCACAAATTTTGTTGCTTTAACATCAGTGATTTGATCATTGTTCATTTTATCCATATCAGTCAATAGAAAATCGCTCATTATATTTCATTTTTATATTATTTATATGCATTATTTTCATTATATACTAAACTGATGTGCTATTTCATCTTATCAATTAACTGCATTAATAAATTTTGGAAATATTTTCAGGTTTAGACTACGAGGCAAGCTGCATGCAACATCTGATCACCGCCGTTTATCTTTTGAGCTTGAGGTTTGCCTAGTAACAGTGCCAGACAGCAGTGCTCCACCACTTGTGGGTATTCGCCGGAAGCGCCTCAAGGGTGATGCCTGGTTTTATAAGCGGGTGGTAGAGGAAGTGCTTGCATTGGCCAAGACATAGAAGTCATAAGAACTTAATTGTATGTTACAAGATTTTTGTGTGCTTATGTTTTAGTGACTGCAAGTTGTGCACTTATAAACAAGATATAATGCCAATAACTTCTTTTTTTATTTTTCACAATTTTCAAGAAGGTGTGTGGTATTTTATAAGTACTCATTTTTTGATATTTATGAACTTGATTTTCGAAAAGTCATGAGGTTTTGCTAGTCTTTTCAAGCCACCCCTTTTGCCTTGGTGACTCTATCCTTTCACATAACTTCTGTGGTATGTTGAGCCAAATTTCTTTTAATTTTATGGAAGTTGTTCAGCAAATATTGGTACTTATTTATTTTATCCAACTTTACTGTTCTTTTAACCATCAAATAGCATTATTCAGGATCTTGGTTACACTCTTCAACAGTTCTTTTTGTCTACAAAAAATGCAATAATTATAGAAAACAAGTAGAAGATGTCTGTATGCATATGATTGTGTACATAAGACAGTTTGGGAAAATAAGTTTTTTGTTGAACAACTCTCCTAGTATATTTTAGAATAACCCTTCAGTATTTCACATTAGATAATAGAATTTACCTGTATATCTGTAAAATATTCTTTTGATAACCTTTCAAATATTATAAAGTGTGGTGCTGTGATTCAATAATGAAATAAAAAATATTAGAAGTATTCGAGTATTATTCTAATAATCTTACACAATTTAAAATAAAATAGTCCATTAATTTGACATGAGTAGCTTCAAGATGCAAAAGGCATGAAAAATTAGCCAAAACCCTTTGAGATTATTTAGATTATTTTAGTCAGGCAAGGCACAGTTGGCACTTCTAAACCAGGGTCATCTTTGTCAGAACAAACATTTTTAGTTAACACAATATTTCTGTTAAAACTTATTTGTTTCTTCTCCTCACCCCATAGCCCCTCATCATGTTCCACACCTCTGATACAACCTCGTACAACCATTAATAATGTGAATAAAACTTTTAGTGGCTTGTACACAACAGGGGTTTACCATGATGTTTTGGTATTGGTTAATCCCTTCGTACTTTGCCGTATACGTACGTATATACGGAGTAATATACATAGTACAGCGAAAGTTATGTAATGCTGCGGAAAACCGATTTTGAGATTTCAAAGAAAATATGTGTTTTGGGGGCCCGGATACCAAAAAAGGTGGTCGTTTTTCTTCTCAAACCATCCGTCTGTCTGTCTGGTGTCTGAACACTTCTAGCGTCTAAGACATAAGTATGATTTTTTCCAAATTGAAGAAACCCCTGTCTATCTGGCTCGAGTCGAAACTGAGATTTTGAAAACAAAATTTGGGAGTGCGCATAGTTTACGTCGCTGCGACACTAGTGGCAAAACGCAGGTCGGTCGGTCTAAACATGCGCGTTGTGCCCTTCATTGCGCAAGTTATTAGATGCGCAAACGGGGTCTTGCCATCTGTACTGACCACAGGACTAAGTGGACAATCAGTCGACTGCGAAGGATGTGAGCCAGCCATTGAGCAGCGGCGCATCACCCCAAAGGCAGCTCCACCACTTCCATCGCCAAGTCGCGATATCGCGTCTGCGGACGCAGACTTCATCAGCCTGCAAGGTTCGGACCAGTCGGTCATCGGGCCATGTACACTGAAGAGCCTAGAAACTGGTACAGTCATGCGTATTGATATAAAGAGAACTGGAACCAATCACAATATGGCGCTGAGGTCGGCAACCAGACTGACACAGTTGTTAGATTGATTACTGCTGCTAGAATGGCAGGTTATCACTATTTAAGTGAGTTTGAACGTGGTGTTATAATAAGCGCGAGGGAGAGGTAGGACATAGCATATCCGTGGCAGCGGTGAAATTTGGATTTTCCCCTATCATTTCACGAGTGTTCAGTGAATATCGGGAATCCGGTAAAACATCGAACCACCGGCACCACAAAAGATAGTGTAAGAATGGGGCCGACGACTGGGGAGAACCATTACACGTGGCAGAAGAGCAACCGTTCCGCAAATTGCTCCAGATTTCAATGCTGGGCCAACCGCAAGTGTCAGCGTGGGGACAATTTAACGGGACAACGATATGGAGTTTCGGAGCCGACAGCAATAGAGGGAAATGTCCAATTCTGTACCGCATGTTTACATCCGGTGCAGACATTGACATCATAATGTCATTGTGTCGATAGGTCGTTGGCTGGCCGATTCTGTACCGGATGTTGACATCCGATGTAAACATCGTCGTTGGCAACTCTTCAGCTGTGGCCCTCACGGTGCTGATGGCCACCCCGTCCCCTTGCCTAACTACCATCCTAAGAAAAGAAAGTCCCTGTCTGTTGGTGACGTGGGGGTAAATATTATTATCACTGAATACATAGCATTTATTATTAATTTAAAGCCCGGCCTTGCCTATCCTACACTACAATTAAATTAAATAAATCGAGGAGGAGGGATAGAGTCCTTGCCTGGCAGAGACATAGGGCTAAATATGAAGTTAGAAAAATGATTGCTAGAAAACATTTCGTTAATGTTAAATAACATATCATTGCTTGAACAACATTTTTTCTCTACAAAATTAAAACCGATAAAAACAGTATAAAATTCATCATTGTCTGTCGGCAGCTAATGTTTTGATACGTTCATCGTTTGTAAAATCTTCAGCCGTCAGACCGTCGTTGTTTCAGGCGGAAATGTCCGTACCAAGGCTCACAATAAACAACACCGTGTCATAATGTCCCAGGATGAGATGAAGCATACGTAAGTGATTCCATTAATGGAAATTCACATTCCTCTTATTGAAGATCCGACGCGGAGAAGGTCTGGAGAAACGTATTTTCTACATCCTGCGAGATCTCGCGTATCTCCCGACGCCAACCGCCACTTCCGGTGACGTAGATGACTCATCCCGTTACGGAAACGTGTGAAGGAAAGAAGAGGAATGGGCCGCGGAAAGAAAGGTAAGAGGGAGATTAATGACTATTATGTTTTCAGGTATAATTAAAATTTGAAATAAATGAACTGTTTTCCAGCAATTTCAATGTTACGCCACCGCCAGGCAGTGACTCCACCGCACCTCCTGTAGTCGACCAGTATGTTTTTTTCTTAGGTTGGTAGACAGGGCGGGGCAGAAAGACTGGGTAGGGGAGGGGGAGGCTGGCAGCACCGTGAGAAGGGCCACAACTGATTAGTTACGAACGACCTTGTGACGTCTATGTTTACACCGGATGTCAACAGCCAGTACAGAATCAACCAGAAATTGCCCTCTACTAAGGCACACTCGTGTATCCTTGATAACTGCACGACCCAAAGCTTTACGCCTCGCGTGGGCCCGTCAATACCGATTTTGGGCTGTTGACTGGAAACACGTTGCCTGGTCTGACGAGTCTAGTTTCACATTGTTTCGAGCGGATGGACGTGCACGAGTAAGGTGACAACCTCATGAATCCAAGGGCCCTACATGTCAATAGGGGACTGTTGAAACTGGAGGAGGCTCTGTCATGGAGTGAGGTGTGCGCAGTTATTGATATGTAACGTCTAGATACAATTCTGACAGATGATATGTACGTAAGCATCCTGTCTGATCATCTGCACCCATTCATGTCCATTGTGCACACCACATTGTGGACTTCGGACCACTCTTCTGAATTTAAATACTTCCACTGGTCACCAAAATCCCCAGACATGAACATTATTGAGCATATCTGGAGTGTCTTGCAACATGTTGTTCAGAAGAGAACACCTCGTACTCTTACCAATTTATGGACAACCTTGCAGGATTCATAGTGTCAATTATCTCCAGAACTACTCCAAAGTCATTAGTTTAGTAATTAGACATTAGTCGAGTCCATGCCACGTCGTGTTGTGGCACTTCTGTGTACTCGCAGGGGTCATATACGATATTAGACAGGTGTAGCAGTTTTTGGCTCTTGAGTGTATAACTCACCTGTGTCCACCAACACTTTTTTAAACTAACCAGAAAAAAATACTAAGTAGATTATTGCATTAAGAGTTCTACATGTGTTCGCCGATTGAGTCAAATGAACCAGCACACGTCGCTTTGGCAAGGTGCATTTCAAATGAAGTCATGCGTTTGCTTAACGGAGTATTATTAGAACCTTGCACCAACACCCGAGAGAGAATTGCGTACCCTTGAGATCTTTCTACCTCATAGATCAGATCAGCTTAGCACTCAGTGCTCAACCCTCTTGCATGCATTCTCAAATCTCTTTCTACGCGTGCGCGTTGCCCTTTGACGCAGAACGTGTCCGTTGCATTTCAATACAGATTCACTTTGCCTGTAATATGCTATGTTTGGTTTAATGGCAACATAATGCTGCCATTTTATGACTACACTGTAGTATAAAACTCACAAACTACACAATTAACATTCACAAACACACAATTAAACAAAATTAATCATTAGGTGGAGAATGCACAAGATAAAACTATATTCTAGAACAGCACTTTCTCGCATGTGATTAAATACCGCAATTACAGTCAATATTAACATATCTCAGCTTGTGAAACTCATTGCCATTTGTTGTGCATTAGTTTTGAAAACTAATTCTTGTAAAGAAAATCAACACAAGTTCGATAATCCAAAACTGCATTCCAGCCAGAAACATCACCCAAGTAATTCTGAGTATTTCGGAGTTTGGAGAGGTGTCACAGCAGGAGCGGATCCAGCTGATTATTTTTCGGGAGGTGGG